ACTATTTCAGCCCTAGATATGAATGTGCAGACTGACTCAAAACCGAAAATTGGCACTGTATAATACGCACGATGAAAACACCGGGTTCATAGAAACTGAAATGAAATATTATTAATTCGCCGCGGTGTATTACAGACATGATTTTGTTTCAAAAAGTTCAGTAGGTTGGCATCACGTCGCCGAAAACGATTGATATACGTGCCGACAATAAACCTCTCTATATAGACTCTAATATGCAGTGGTAGATAATAAATGCATAGGTACACTACGTTATGTGCACACAATAATAACGGTGCTTTTTTTCCCGGATGGACAAAACCGCCACATATTGAACATACAGCACTGTAGTAATTTCAAGGACACTGGATGCAATTTTTCGAACAAGACGATGTGTTAGAATTAGGTACCTATAATAATGATAAACCACTACCAAACCATACGTATCCGTTTTATAATAATGTGTAATAATATTGTAATACCGTTGTACACGAATCGAAAGAAAAATGAACCACAGTTATTATTGCGTTCTATTAATTTATATAAGTAATTTCTATCGAGTTAAATTTGGTATACAAGTATTTCCCGTAGTAAAATTATTACTACGTCAAGGGAATTGTAGTCGTTTTAAAATAAAATTGGTATCACACCGAAAATATGGACAAAATTGTAGGGCTCCGGAGGTTCGACTGATTTCAATTTCAAAAAAGGCGTCTGATTAACAAGTTTATTTGGTTTGAACGGAGGCGATTTTATAAATTCCGAAAATTGTACATGTTATGAATGTATTATGATAAAAATCATACATATAGACAAATACGATATTATTGTTCATCATCGAAATTGAGATTAAAACAAATAAAAAATAGATACTTTAAATCGTCTACCTCAAACTTGCAATTAATAATCTATAAACGGGTTTACGTTTACGGTAACTAAAATCCGTCAAACCCAATCCTACAAAATTGTCTGCCTTGTCTTTTCGGTCAAAAAACGTCATATTCGTCCATAAAAAAACACGTGCCGTAAAATAGTATTATCATTAAAATTAGGTAGACATTAAAACGTAAACAAAATTTGTAGTAAAATTGTACAAAATAGGGAAAAAAATTGAAAACATAATCCAATTCTTTACTATTGCTGCATGATGAAACACGTTTATAATAAACAATTATTACCGCAAAAAAAAATATTTTATAATACGAAAGTCTAAATAAAAAATCTGTGCGTTTAAAAAACAAACAATTTAAAAGAAAATATATGTACATTGATAGGAAAAAATAAATTTAAAAATAAGTACACATCATAATAAAACCTAACCTAATCTTGTTGCGCTCAGCATCTAAAAATAAAACTGATAGTACTTATGAGTGGCCCTGTTGAAAATGAAAAGTTGTAAAGGTAGGGTACATAAATTTATTTAATTATTATCAACAACAATAAATCATTGCCAAAAAAATACGATTCTGAGAGAAGTTCGGTGAAACATGTTTTGAAATACTCTGATTTTTGTTAAAATTTGAACTTTAAATGCTTATAAAAAAAAAAATGCATAACGCTCAGCTTTTTTTTACATTCGAATACAACTTATAATGAATCTCGTGTTCAATTTCCGATCGACCAAAACAATTTCATCGACACACCTTAACATCAATAATGACAATTAAACCAACTCAAAAATGGCAAATGCATAAAAAAAATCAATATAATACGTCTACACAAGGGCTGACATAAGTATTCTGTGAAAATGTTAGGTCTTTTCGATTATTTTTAACCGAATTACAAAAAAAAAAAAAATAATAATAATAATAAAACCGTTATTTCCGTAAAATCCTTCGTTTTTTACCGGTTTTCTCGATTACTAAGAAAACTAAAGAAAACTCCAAAAACGACCTCTTCAATGCACCAACTAATTAACACAATACTACAAAAATTTGTCATCTCGTCATCTTTTAATTATATTAAGATTTCTGATAGAAAAGTTGTTAATAGAAAGAACAAAACTACAAACATCATAGTAAAACATTCCACGGTACACTCGGAACCTAAGACCGATCGTGCCAGACACAGGAATGTTGATTATTTTCACGTTAATTGCTCTATTGCAGGTACACCTAAGTAAAATAACGTGACATTGTTCTGTCGAGATTGAAAGTATAAACTTAGAACACATTATGCGATATTGTCATCACGTCACGTAGATATAATGTCGTATATAAGATAATAATTATGTCAAAATTAAAAACACACATTCGTAGTACGCATGCCTTTCGTATTAGGTATTCTACTTGAAATTAGAATATCTGCTACCAAATACGAAAATGTTAAGAGGACGTTGTATACTCGTATTAACTGTCTCGGTCAACTAACATTGAAATTACGTTAAGTATATTAAGAAAACAACTATAGTGAATTGTGACGTTTTGATTGAAATAAGGATTTAAACACAAATAGCAACATATTTAAAGATAAGAATAATTTCGAGCAGTGACGTACCTACTTAAAGGGGGAGATTAGAGATATATGTCTTCTCCTTGACCTTTTTTTAAGTATTTACTATTCATTTATTTTAAATTAAAGTTTCTTTAAACAATCAAAATTGTGTTGGTATTATCCACTCGTATTATATCAAAAAATCTGAACGTTCCTTGTTTAAAACGAAACCTATCCGAACCGCTACAGTATGAAAACGATTTTATAAATCAGTAGGCACCTAAATAGTAAATTAATTAGAAAAAATACTAATAATTACTAATGTTGTTTGATATCAACGATAATTGCCGGGTAAATTGAATTATAAATTAGGTATTTACAAAAATTTATGAATACCGGCAGGCGGATATCTAGAGATTGTTTCGAAGGGCGGAAGATGACATATTTTTCCCCTATAAAAATACCATTTGAATCGATCTCATAATTGTATTTCTCCTATCTTCCAGAAATTTCGAGGTGGGTTGCATCACCTCCATCGTGTATACGCCCCTGAATGCAGATACAGTATTCGATTAAGCGTTATTTTTATTTCATTTTCATCACGATAATTATTATTATATACATATAAACTTGCAATAAAAATCACAGGCACAATAATTTAGAAACGAGTATTTCTTACAATGTGTTCATATATTGTATTATTTTCTGGCATTCCACAATCGTTATACTACGTTTGTAGATGTTATTTGGCGTGTTTCAAACGATAATACGTAATTTACGATATATAGGTAGCTAGTTAGGTGTATTGTTGAAGTGGAATAGAGGTCAACATTTGTAAGATTTTTTTATTCGTATCACAATCGCGAAAAGAAAAATGTAAAATGGTTAAATTACTCGAAACTGCGTATGCCTCTATATTATGTTAATAAAATAATACGTTTAAAGACGATATGTTATGTATGTATTTTTTTTTTTCACGAATACTATACACCTATACCTACAATACGACTCAACACGGTCGATATTATTGACACGTCGTCGGATAATAGGTACGTATATACTAGCTAATAGTTCAAAGATATCAGCGCGAGATAACACACAGACAAGAAAAGGGAAAAAAAAAACCTCTGAAAACAGTCTGCTATACAAATAATGATGATAATGCTCGTTCGCACACACGTTTCGAGTAGTTGACAGCGTACGTATGTATGTGTGTGAAAAATAAGTTGTAAAAAAACAACCGATTACGTACCTATGTAGAAGCGTCGTAGGTAGGTATACGAAAACGAGATACGAACGATATGACAGTTTAACAGGTAGGTACTAACAACACACACGGGTCTATAATACTAACACGGCTATAGCTGCTGCTGTATAATATATTTTATGTGAACAGTACACGTTGCGAACATTATTATTATTATTATTATTATTATTTTTTTTTTTTTTCTATTTTATTGACATTGATCCTTGGACGATTGAATGGGTATCATAAAATAAATAAATAACGTAAAGCGGAGATGAATTATTATGTTGTAGTGGGGAAAAAAAAAAAATATTAATAATCTATAATGTATTATATATTATACCTACGATTATTGTTACGTCGTCGAACAATAATAATAATAATAATAATAATCGTAACAAATATTGTTAACAGCGGCGGCGGCGGCGGCGGCGGCCGGTTAGTGGTTACGTAGCCGCCGCCCACGACCTGTTGCGGCGCGGCCGGGGTAGGGTTAGACGCGCTATCAGTGTTAGACGTCGGTGGAGGCGGCTTTGATAACGCAGTCGCGTGCACAACAGCTACGGCGTCGAAACACGATAACGCGCGGTACGCACGGCGCGGACGATTTAATTTTTTTGAAATTTCTCGTATCATTTTTTTTTTTCTCTCATCTCTATGCTCGTTTCCCACCCGGTCTGGCGATATTGCCGTCCGCCGACGGTTGTTAGTTGGTCGTCTACGGTAACCCCGCGGAACGGAAAAGACTCGCGCGCTCGCTTGCTGAAAAAAACCACTTACTTGTATGTCGGATCTGTAACGGCAGCGGCCGTGACTTGGTGGTATTCGCGGTAGCGGCAGCGGCGGCGGCGGTCGGCCCGGACCAGCGAACGCCGTCGTCGTCCGCGCCGGATCTAACCTGTTGAACGCCCGCCGTCGTAGGTGGGTCCGCCGTAATTTTTTTTATTTTTATTTTTCGTGTCTGTCTCTAAATTATTATATTCCCAAACGGTATTTTCGCCGACTACACGACTGCTGCGACCGTCGCGGCCGCCGTCGCTTTCGGTACAACTACGCTCCGGAGTCGACCACTGTTTACTACCACACAGTGTGTCGCGTATACGACGGCGCGGGCGCGCGCGCGCGCGCGCTCGTCTCTATTCGGTCGGTGTTTTTTTTCCTCTCCGTCGCAGCACTGCCTATGGCGTCGCCGTCGCCGCCGTCCTTTTCCGCTGTTCACCGCGCGCGCGTGCACGCCGACGTGCAGTGCAGTCGCGGATGTGGCCGTCGTCGTACGCACCGGCTGTTTTTCGGAGCCCGCGCGCGCACTCGCGCGACCGAATATAGGGAGCAGACGCGCCGGCAGCCAACGGGGCGACGACGGGGCCGGACCGGTGAGCGCGCGCGAAAAGCACACCGCGAACACACGATATTGCACAACAAACGACAATGTTATAATGCACAGAGGGACGCGTCCCCCGTCCGGTCGAAGGACTTGGAAGAGACAGAAGAAAAAAAAAAAAAAATAAAAAACCGAAAACCGAAAACCGATCGGAGTAATAGTGTTTACAAAATGGTGATTGATGATGTCGTGTTTGAAACGAACCGCGCGCGCAGGCGCTCCGGACGATCGGGACGCGGACGTGCGTGTGCGTAGTATTTTACGTGCGCGCGCGTGTAGGTAACACACACTTGCACAACACTACCGGCGGCGGTGCCGAACGCGTATGTTCGACGGCGACGTTCGTAATATTAATATTGTGTGCGTACCGACCGCGTACGTACGCGCGCGCGCGCGCGCGCGTGCCCGTTGTACATTAGCCGGCCGCCGCGTTACGACCGGAGTAGTGGGCCTCCCACCGACAACGCGTGGCCGCAGCTGCTCGGGGTGCCCGTTGTTTTGTTTTGTTTTTTTTTTTTTCCACTCGTGCTCTCTACACCGTCGGTCGGGTTTTATTTTTACTAGAGGGGGTCGATCGACGGCGGTGGCGGCCCTCGGATCCGGCGGCGGACGAGATAAACGTTTGGGGCGATAGGTGCGCGGCGGCAAGGCGGTTACGACTGACGCCGTAATGGTTTAACGTTCGGCGCGGTTGTAGAAAGACGACGATCGGGTTGAGGGAACTCAGCTGTTGCGGCGGTCGTATAGCTGATGCCAGTCCGTCGTGCTAATAAACGCGCGTATCCGGTCGACGGCGGCGACGACATGACCGCTCCCGGTGGCCCGGACCAATGTTTAGAGAGTATGTGTGTGTGTGTGTGTGTGTGTGTGCGCGCGCGTGTGTGTGTAATGGGGGAGGAGAGGGATTCGTGTTTGTGTGCACCCAGGTGCCGGTGTGTAAATGCTTTGTTTTTTCATTCAAATCGTTCATAATACTGAGTGATCAATCTTTTGTCGTAAGACGTTCATTGTCTCCGGAAAGTATTAATAAGCTTTTCGTCGTTTTTTTTTTTTTTTTTTTTGCGATCATTTTGTTCGTGATACACGCTGTCCTAAAATATGTATTACGTTGCTCTTATTTTCGTTTTAATCAAAAGTCGCGGCCGTTCAAAACTTATTAAGAGGAATGTAAAATATTTTAAGAATTCAGAATATTGCCAGCGTCGTAAATGTTGAAAAAACTTTCCGAGCTAATGAACGTGTTTACACGGTCTTACGTATCCTAACAATCCATCAGAACAGATGTTGAGTCGAAATATGTTCAGTTGTCTAAAACGAGTACCGCCATAATATTTGGGTAATCGGAAGATTTTATTTCCGTCTGTGGTTGCGCAAATTTGTATACGTCTTGTTTTGAATAAATACATTTACATCAATTTTTCCTATTTCGTACAATTTTGAGACGGCAAAAATCATAAACCGTTGATGGAAGATGGGAAGCGTTACATTCTCTATCCTCATACGCTGCGCTGACAATTCAACGTTCGGTGAAATCCATTTGTTTTCAACCAAATCCTAAACACGCCGAAGTGGTGTTGTTGATATCTGAACATTTTCCGGCGGTTAGTTTTATGTTGAATTGGTGTACTGTAACCGACAAAAATATAAAATGTAAAATATCATATAGTTTACCTACACTAATTAAAAATTAATAAATCGCAGAGGTTCCTATACTTTTCTCAATACTTGGGCACATTATGGATAATGTATAAATGTTTGCTACCCATCGCGGCACGTACAAGCGACTTTTTTTTTTTTTTTTTATTAAGATATTCGTATCAAACTATTTTCAAAACACTATTACACTATTACTAGTTCTATTTCGCACGTACATTCTGTTTTGTACACATCGTTACAGATTACGATTTACGGTGAAGACGAAAATGAATTATTTATGTACATACAAACGAAAATTATTCTGAAATAATAAATTTCAACATTAGTGACGCACATTCATACATTATACAGACAATTTTTTTCCAAAATATTTTAGGTATTATTTTGCACAGATCTAATATTCTAGTTGTAAAAAATAATACATACTTCAACATTGTTCGCGACCCCGGATTCACTGAACATTCAATCACATTTTGAGAAACGCTGATATAATAATAAAGTATTGCACGCTACTTCCAATTACACGTTAAATTAATCTATTGTTACTATTTTTGATTTATAATTAAGTAATTGTGTCCTTTTTAATTTATATTTACGCATTATTTATCAACTATTTCTATCGGGTGTAGTCACTTCGTATTTTTAGTTAATTTTGCCCCTTTGTTTTATATTTATATTTATATGATCCCAAGTATATTTTACAGAAAAATAAATTTACTCGCGGTGAAATATCCGGTGATTCGTGTCTACCATATTACGTACCTTGTCCATTATTTGTACAAGGTAAAAAATGTTTGCGTATCTGTAGTAACGAAAAAATGGTATAACTGAGACAGAAAGACACGTACCCAGAGGAGTCCATGTGGTTTAAACCCTCAAAATTTAAGTTTCTTACCAAATAATTTGATTATTAGTACAATTATTAGTAGTTGGTGATAAATTTTATGTTACACCCTTCCCCCCCAAAAAAATCCTGGCTACCTACGTGTCTAGAAACAGACAGACGATCTTAGCGGGTTAAATTAAACTGAATAATGTTAAATCCGCCTACTGCAACGATAAGATCGTATCTATCCACTTTTCCTACTTCTAATTTTTTATCATAACGCCTGCCGTAAAGAAACAAGTCGTATATCATGACAGACATAAATAATATACTATAAATAACTAACTCATATACAATTACTGATATACTTCCTTTTACCTACTTGAAACGGACGGCAGCCATTTAATTTGAGGCCCATGGGTCTTATAATATAGGTACTTTTACATTGTGATGACGGTTGAATCTGGCTTTTTACCATTTTTAACGTGATTATTAACCATCGACTTATTCCTACATCTAGACGGAATATTGAGCATTAAAACGCGTTTCTGTTGGTGGAGTACGATGTTGAGGACAAAAACATGTCAGATAATAAATGGAATGTTTTAATTGACTATTCTTGAAGTGCTTATTTGCTCTCTTTTACACTAGCCTATATATCAGTCTATCTCTCTTAATACGTTCGGGCCGAACCGAATTAGGTACGGATCCAGAGCGAAGATCTGGGGGGGCTCAACTATTTTTTTACAACACAAATGTAATTATAATACAATATAATACATTATGTATATTATTTTCTCATACAATCCTCGTACACAAATCGGATAAATAATGTCTGGGAGAGCCTGGGCCCTAGCCCCCTTCTAGATCCATCCCTAATAACGAATAGTGGCAATTAGTGGATCACTTATTTAGACATTATAGAAAGACAAAATGTGGAAACTTGATAAGTGGTACTCTACTCGTACTAGTAGTCGAACCACGACTACGACTACCAGTATTATTGTCCTCGAGCCATCATATGAAAAAAATAAACGTGGTATTTTATGAATCGTGTAGACTGGCTGAAACAAATAAACTATACTCACTGCAGCATAGTCCTACTAGATGTAAGACGGCAAGTGACAGCTCAAGAAAAAAGAAAGGATTGCAACTCTACTGAAAATCACTCTGTACACAGATATACTCCACGTAACAGTAGATTAAAGCTAATACACAGATTCCTATGCATACATAGGCTATAACATTGCACGACATAGACTCTACTTTTAAAACCTTACGAACGCCGCCATAGATGAAGAATGACAAATGCATGGCCAAAGAGGCGAAGAGTCAATATAGACAATAACAATAGAGGACCTACCCACTGGGTATTAATCTAAATTATGGACTCGGGAAAACTCTAAATCGCTTATGGGAACATGTTGTAATAACAAAGAAGAACCTCGGACGAGGGTACACGGGTATAATTTTAATGTACCTATTATACTAATTTCTAATCTAATACTAATATACTGTTGTAAAAATTGTAGTTTATAGTATTTGATGAAGCTGCATGTAGCAGGTACACTGGATATGGCCTCTGAAATCTTGAAATGTGTTCAAGTGAATAATTTAGTATTTACTGCACATAATTATACAGGTAGGTACAAGAAAATATAAAATCAATTTAGTGCTTTAAAAGTCGAATGAATATTAGTTTCGCTTATTTATTGTCTTTAATGACAATTATAAGTTATGACTATTGCATTTATTGTAAATTCAACTTAAAAATTAAACAAGTAGCTGAACGATATTCATTTCTAACATAATACCGTACAAACATTAATTATACGTAGATAGGTAGTATAATATAATATGCATTTTTATCACGTTTAACACAATATGTCCATGTTTGTGTATAATGAGAACTAAATACCTAATTAAATTACTAGTTTATCAACGTATTATAAGTGTTTACTATTAAAATATAATATAGTTATACCTACTAACCCTTCTTTCTCCCCCCCCCAAAAAAAAATAACCCCTATTCAATTTCAATATAACATTTTAGGAAAGTTGAAAAGGTAAAATACATAAAGTTATTTTATTTATATCTGTGTACGCAACGATAAAATCATTACTAACGAAAAAAGATCTTGAGCGAATTTCGATTAAACGTGTTTGGAAATATTTTTACCACCAAGTACAACTTATTATAATTTAACCTCGTGTTAAATGTCAGCTCGGCCGAAACAATTTGATCAACATAAAATTGAATAAAAACAAAAAAACCTCGAAAATGTCGAATGCCTATGAATACGCCTTAACAATTCAAAATATTTTGAAAACTCTACCTCGTGTAGAAAAGGCACAAGTATTTTATGAAAATAGAAGATTGCTATGACTATTTTTAACCAAATTATAACAAAATCAAAAACATCAAAAATAATGAAATCGTTATTCGCTGTAAATTTATCCGTTTTTTTTGTAAGTTTTTTCCGGTTTTTATTAATTATATTAAAAAACAATGAAAATAAAAAATCACCTATTTAATGCACCAACTAGATTAGAAATACTACAAAAAAGCTCTCTTGTCGTTTTTTGATTAGATTAAAATTTTTGGAAAAAGTGGATTATAGACAGAACAAAATAAAAATCGAACACATTACAATAAAACCAATACGAAAAAACCTTTAGTCTACACTCTACACAGTTAGAGAACGATTCTAAATGAAACGGTCTGAATCTAAACGTTTGCCTATATGCTGCATTTTTACTTCTTATCATTTTTAATCTCTAAATTTTCAGGAAAATAAAAACTTAAAATTTGCCTCTTCATATATCTATATAGTAAATGTCTAAAACAAAAATTGTTTTTCGACAGTTAAAATCATTGTAAAACACTATAAAACTAGCGACACTACTCGCTGTAAATTAGATCACCGACAACCGCCTTACGGCACATTACCTTTATCAATGATCGCTAATAAGTCACTTTGAATACTATATGTAAACGCAGATA